GTCAAGCTTACACTTTTTAAGTTATCTACTCTGAAAAGATTTGTACAGGATGTACTATCAGGATTACGGTTTAATCTATGAATAGTTTAATCAGTGAATACTGATGCTATATTGGGAATAATATGTGAATGGGTGCTTATGTGTTTGACGTATTTATATTTATTTCCTTGAATCATTTGTGAATTGACCCAGGTTTTCTGTGCAGATATTTGGACACGTGGCAGTGTCAGGATGTAGGGTAGGAGGGGATGACTTAGCCACTGTAAAGTCAATTTAGGAATGGAGAGGAGAAATAGAACTAGAAAGACAATATTTGAATTTTCTGATTGTTTGGTTCACTTTTTAAAACCAGTGTGCCTGGCTGCCACCCTCCTCAGCACTGCTGGCAGGACCAGCACCACCACCAGCACCACCACCAGCGCCAGTACCACCAGCAACTCTTGTCCTTAGTCAGCTTTGCAAAAGGGGAGAACAGTACCTTCACTGTGTTAATGTTTTCTGGAAGGAATAAACACATTTTCAGATTAGAAAGCAGAGCTTGTTTCATAAATCATCTGAGTTTACAGCTTATGAAGCACTTGAAAACAAGGGGATGACTGCTAAAGATGTTCAGATCTGACAGAGATTTTGCAAGTACACTGACACTAGGAAGTCTGCATCAGATGGCAGGTGCCACACAGCTGGCCTTCATCACCTTCCTCCTGCCATTTACCTTCACCTTGTGGCACAGTCTTCTTACAGGCAGCCTTGTGCTTTGGCAATTTCTAGGCAAATGGAGTAAGAGCCAGCACAACGCTCTTTCTATACCAGCCCTTGTGGGCTGAATTCAAGGGCCCTGCTAACTGAGGAGCAGATCACCCAGGAACTGAGCTGGCAGATGAGGATATCCCTACTATAAAAGCTGCCTGCAAGGAAAGCTGCCTGCAAGGATCTCACCAAACACTTCCTCAAAAAAAAAAAAAAAACAAAAACTTTTCGGGGCTGCAATCTGATTTAGAGGAAAAACGACGTGAACTAAAGCTTGAATTGGAATTCTGATGAGTTTCTGGTAGATAAAGTTAAAACTTCTGTGTTGCCAAGCTAGCACACTGCTTATAGCAGTAGTAACTGCATCTGAGTACTCAGGGAAAGCATGCGCATATTTTCACCATAATTTCCCTTCACGGAAAAGCACAATATGCACAGTTCCAGTTTTCAGGAGACAAACTGCATATTGGCTCTTTATTGCTCCATTAAACTCGTCTGTGACCTTGTCTTGCTACTTTGCACACCAATCCAGAGCTTCGAGAAGCACCTAAATCTGCAGTTTAAGTGGGACTGTTTGCAAGCATATGATCCGGTTTGGGATGATCCTGCAATCTGTGGAATGGACAATCACTCTACACGCTGTTCAATCAAATCAAAACAGCTTACAGTAAATTTTCCATATATAATGTTTGTTTGGGGTTTATAGCTACAGCAAAATGATGGATTTTTTCACTTCCAGAAGTGCCAAGTTGCTCTTGGGTGGCAAGATTGGTTTTGTTTTAATATTTTTATGCCTTCCTATTGGTGGTTTGCCATCCCTTTTTCTTATAATTTTTCTTATTGTATTCCCTCTGAAACAGGGGGGCTGTTGCCACTGAAGCACTAACAAGAGTGTGGTGTTACAAACCTGGCGTGGTTTTCTGGATCAACAGCCAGACCTTCAGGGTGGCTCTGCAGAAGACGACAATGTCAGAGTGATGGACAGGCCCTCCCCTTTTCTTGCACGAGGCTAATGAGTGTGCTTGGCAGTGTGTGGCCTCTGAAAGGAAACAATGCACTTACTGGAAACCTCAGAGCTGTGTTTGCTTTTAGAAAGGACTTTTGAGTCATTTATCACCTCTGCAGCTTTGTGCCACCTTGCAGCACTCTTCGTAGAATGTGGCTCTTTAAATAATTTTTTTTATTAAGTCTGTGAGAATTGCTGCAGTTTTAGTCATGATACACTTCTATTGTTTGCCTGGCTGGTTTCTTTTTCTCTTTATACATCTAAACTTGCAGTTTGGAGAAACGTGGCCTAGAAAGCTAATCAAACAAGCTTTTCTTGCACCAAAAGCAGTGTGTCTATTGTTGCAGTGGCATTGATGCACTGACCCAAAGATAACGATAAATAGTATCACTAACAGAAGGAAAGCTTAAAAAAATACTGTATTTTTTAAAAATGTCTCACCATTTCTTCATCATAAAGGATATAGACCCCCTCACATAAGGTCTCCTGCAGATGCCAGCAGGAGCAATCAAAATCACCATTCATGATGACAAATATTTTCTACTTAGCAGGCTACCATCACAGTGAGCCAAAGGGAAAATGCCTGCGCTTCCTTTGCTGTGAAAAATGCCTTATTTCTTAATTTGTCTAGCCTGACTGACAAGCTGGGCTTTCAGGCAAATTAAAAAGAGGAATCTCACTCCAGGTACTCTTGGCTGTGCTCTACACTTGTTAGGCTGTCAGAGTGTGTCAGTGCTCCCTGTGCTCCTGGGAAAGTTCAGCACCCAAACCCCACTGCCTGTGCCAGGGAAGTGCCCACCTCCTCCGGGGAAGGCTGGAGGACAGGCCCCAGGCAAAAGTGATCCCAGGATGTTGTCCTTACACATTTAGGAGGTGGGAATCTAAACTGAGTCCTGATGCTAAACAGGGAGTGCAACAGGTCCCCTTCCTACTCATTTGTTTCCGGGATGTGAGAGGTCTGGCTTGGCTGTAGATGTGAATTAAGACCATTTTGGAAAAATCCTAATGCTAATGATAGGATGTTCTTCACATCATGCATTTGTCTACTGGTCTATTTGTTGTCTATTTGTACAACTGTGAAAAGCAAAGAACATGTTCTTCAAGGCTTTGAGTATGGCAGCTGGCTTTGGGCTTTGAGTGCTAAAAAAAATATATATAAACAAAATAAAGGCAAATAAATGTTGGTGGCTACAGAAAATTCAGTCTATGGAAGTCATGCTATGAAGTTTTCTTTGAATGGATGAGAGAAGAGGAGGTGATACTTTAAGTCATTATTATTTGGCAAACTATGGGGATCTCAGAGCTGTCTTTCCTCTCTGTGTAGCAAATTGTCATCAATGCTGCTATTAGAAGCCTGGCTGCAGAAGATTAATTTAGATTTTTTTTTTTTTTTTTTGAGTTTAGATTTGATTTTCTGTTCTTCCCTGGAGGAGACAGGCACCTATTTTACATTGTGTAAGATACACATTTCAGGTTAGTACAGATATTTTTTTAAAAACACCATAATCAAAGGTTGCAAGACCATGAGCCTGGGATAAGTCAATAATGCTCTGAGCTTAGCTTCTAGCATCTGTAGTGTGTGCTGAGGCAGAGGGAAGCAAAGCTGTGATTCTATGTAGGCATGACCATTTAAATGACCTCTTTCTTATTGCTGAAAACCCAAAAGAAACAGGAATTAAATATGTTGCAATGGACATACACATAAGGTAGACAGAGTACTTAAAGAAAGGTCTGCTGAAAGGATATATTTCACATGCAAATGTGAAACCTAGCTGAAAAAAGGTTTTATGTAACTCTTCCCTCCTCCTGACTGAGTGACTTTGAAAATGTACAGTCACAGCCGGAAGGCTAAAAAGTCCTCTCTTCTACCCTCAACCTTCAAATTACTGCATGAAATACCAGCGGAAAAGGAAGGTTTGAAGCAAGATCTTTGGAGCTAAGATTCCTCTGCTAAACCTGGAATTGCTCGCTGAAATTTACTTGAAAGTAGCTGGAGGATTTCTCTGCTCTTTCGTTCATGAAGAGGACTGTGAGCCCCTGCTGTGAACGAGTGACTTCAGCTAAGGGTACTGATCTCCTCTCTCTTCCAGCTCGGTGCAGTCACTAATTTGTCAAAGGAGAAAGCTGCTTATCCTGCCTGAGTGGCTGCTGCCTGCCCCGGGGGAACCACAACTGGCTGGTCCTGCCGCTGGTGCTGCACTGTGCTGGGGGGCTAGGCCTCCAGGGGCTCGCTTGTCCCTCCAGAAGGAGCACGTAGTGCACCACACATTTCCATAAAAATTATGGGTACTATAAGAATTTTAAATATTTGAGACCTCTGTCAAATTGCTCTGCAATTGCACCAATATTTGCAAGTTTCTCTCTCTCCTCTTCGTTCTCTCCACAACAATGACAGCGTGTTGGAAACCAGCCCGTACTACTGCTTATGGAAATGGCAGGATGAAGGGAGAAGCACTGATGTATTCAGCTGTTTGTTGCACTGGCCTAAGTGATGGTGGTCAAAAATTTTTTGTTGTCTGTTTTTTGTTTTGTTTTGTTTTTCCATGTACATTAAGGAAATTGTCCCCATACAGCATGGCTTATCGTAGAGAATCATCGTTGGGGTGAAAAAGAGATTCAGGTTTAGATTATTACATTAAAATTTTTCCATGGCTCAAATCTCCAATTCTGGAAAAGTATGTTTCAGAGAGATTGATGAAGACAATTAGAGGGCTATGCCTCCAGGTTTTGTTTTTATATATTCCTAACGTCGTCTCAAGACAGGTTCTTTCAACTGTTTGGTAAAGACATGGTTGGAGAAGAGGTCGACACCATTATAATGTCTAAAGAAAAAGTGTAAATGCAGTGGTGCTAGCTCCTAATGCTTCACATTGTCTTCAGTTATTGCATCCTGCATGGTGCTGAGAAGAAGATGTCATTAATCATTTGTAGTGACACATGGCTTCTGAACTATTTAATTATCTTTTCTGTTTAAAACAGAATTATTTTCTCTGTCTAAAACAAATGGAAAAACTGCATAGTGTTGCAGCTCATGTTGTATCAGAGATGACTGTGATTCTAGGATGATATTCACTCTTTTAAAGTGTAAAAGCATGTACTCCAGCAACTTTTTGAGGGTGCTGAGCCAAAGACAGTACACTTTCATCTCTGATAGCCTGATTAAGAGGAAATGTGTGGTACCTACATGAGAGATAAGATTAGTTATGCTGAACGGGTGCCATGGAGAACGGAGCAGCCAGTGACTTACCACGTCAATTATCTGCAGCAAAGAAAGCTGAAGCTCAACTACAAGGGGCTGGGAGTCATTCATGACCGGTCGCTCAAGACGATTGTAGTTTCTCAGCAGCTCTCTGTACAAGCGCCTCTGGCTTTCACCCTGCAGAGAGACTAGGGGAAAAGAAAGAAGGCAGCTGTCACTGAGGCTGGTCCCATTGTCCTCATCGGTTGTCTGTTTAGCTGAAAAATCCCTCTTAATATGTTGGTAATTTGAAAACTGTTTTCCAAAAACTAACTTCCCCCAAACTCTCTGTGTAGATGTGACAGACACGGTTTTTCTACATAGGTGACTGATGAGATCCTAAAGAAAATGAAAATAAAAAGAAAACAGAAAACAAACAAACAAACAAACAAACAACAACTATTAACACTTTAACTGGTTACTAACACTCAAAAACTACCAAACATCCTTTTGGACTCAAAGTCCCCCACTGCTCGGCCCCCTCCTGATGATGATCAGGACTCCAGAACTGCCAGACAGCTTGCTGGAAGGCAGTGAGAGCACTTTCATTTGCTTGTGCTTATTTCCTAGAGATGGGCTGCTGTGTGCCAGTGCTGGTATTACTCGGACACACTGCGTGTTTACTCAGCATGTATAACAGGTATGCTTGTAACTCAGGGCTGATGTATCAGCCCTTCTCTGAGTGCTCAGGAAGCAGGAAAAAGCCTTCTAAATACCCTCTTTGGTTTTGTGTGGAAGCCTCTACAGGCTTTGGGTTGACATTTTTCCTTCAGATGGCAGCACACTTTGCTGGTACCAAATGAGGCAGTGGTTTGGAGGCCAGAATGTGTGGCAGGTATGTGTAACAGTGGTATTGAGCTCATGCTGTTAGAGGCTTAACTGGGCTTCCTGTGGCAATGGTCTCAACACAGCCGCTGTCATGCAGACAAAAAAGCCTGTGAGAGACTAGCAGGATTTCAGTCTGTGCTTAAATTGCACCATTCTTCTGTGTCCTGTCACCCTGCTTTTGTGATGGGCATGGAGCATGGTCGTGTACCTGGTGTTGCAGTGTTTTCAGGCCACAGCAAGCATGGATGAGGCCGTGTAGCAGTGATTGCTCCAGTTTCCTCCTATGGTAACATCAGCAGCTCACTGGGGTTTGCTTTCCAGGAGCTTGGGTCCCATAGGACCATGCAGGCTTTGGTGCTCTGCCTGGTGGCAGCCTGAGCTCAACTCAGAGATCATCAAACAGAGTGTGGCCCATGGGCTGCAGGTTCTCTCAGGCCAAACCAGTCCTGTCTGCTTGGCTGTACATCCCTTACACTGTAGAAATGCAACCTCTGGCAGCGAATCTACACACTTGGGGCTGAGGCATTTTTAATACACTGTGACTCTTTTTAGCTCTTGAGCAGAGGTCTTCACACTGAGACCAGGAATCCTCTCACAGTGGCTGTGATGAACACCTTTTTGACAGTCCAAGCAAACTCTAACAACTAATTCTTCTCTCCCCAGCATTTTACTGTGCTCAGCAAGCCCTGCAAGCCTGGAACAGGCATCTCCAACACAGCAGCCATGCCTTTTAAAGCTGATAATGTTGCTCAGTTAAAAAATATGTTTAATTCAGATTTGTTCCCATTTTCCTGATACTGAGGGGAGTTTTGTGGCTTACCAGTACGGCAGTGCCTTGTGAACAAGGAGAAAGAGTGTTTTTGTTTATTTTGGTGAGTTACACTGACTCATCATCTTCATGGACCCTCTCTTCTCTTGAATAATACATAACATGTTCATGGGGACCCAAGGGAGCAGGTGCTGTAGGGCTGCTCCGGTAGCCCTTACTGACACACTGGACACTGCTTTACCATCTACAGTGACAAGCTCTGGCCACAGTTTCTCACTTCACCAGCTTAAGTAAGCTTCCTTGCAAGGCAGTGATTAAAGTCCTCTTAATATATTAATTTCCAGTGCCTCAGCAGGCTCCAATTACCTTTTAATATTCTTCCGTGGGAAGGAAACCAGTGAAAACCACAAGACATCATCCTATGCAAAGAGGCTCCGTGTTTTGAGCAAATCTGCTGTCCTTTGACTCACCTAACACACTCCCCCTGCTCCCCTCTCCTGCTCCTGTGCTTTGGGGAAGGAATGACTGCCTGCACTATTGCCCTCATTCTGAGGGGCATTATGTAATGTTTGCCTTTAACATCCCTTTTAAACTGTCTACCTCAGCTTTTTGCAGCAGAGAAGTGCCCTTCACCAGGCTCGGGAAGTTGGATGGGCTACAGGAGTGCCCCGGTACCGTCACTGTCATGGTGCATTAAAACAGCTCACTGAGGGAGGCCTGGATTGGAGAAATCTCAGCACAACCCTTTGCAGTGCGCTCCATGAAAATGTCTTTGCACCGTCAGCTCAATTAACCCACCAGTGCACTTTTGGTACCTGGTTTTCCACCCTGTCTTCAACTCTCCCCTCTGCAATGGGGTCCTGTTGCTTTGCAACCTCTTGTATCCAAAGCTGTTAACATAACCTTCGCTGATCTATACTTAGCCTGCTGAGTTAGCAAGAGTAGCCACATGTTTGTGTGCTGCCTGGTTGTGTTTACAAAATTACACAGATTCAGAAGCAGCAGAGCTTCTGGGTTCTCCTGACATGTAGCCTTGGCAGCTATTAGTACCACAAAGACCTGGTACGTCTAATCAAACCGCTGTCTCTCTGCTGTATTTTGGAGAAGAAACTGAGTAGGCTGAGAAGTCAGGGTTGTGTTTTCATAGGCTTTTTCTTTAAATTGTAATTTTCAGATACTTAATGTTTCCTACTCCAGAGAGATTGCTGCTTTTTTCCCCTCTGATGCTTGTGCTAATGCATTGTGACACTACAACTCTGAGTGCTAAATGGAGTGTTTGCTGGAGATGGGGAAATCTGCATCTCTCAGGAATAATGGTAGAATAAGCTTTACCATTGCCTACCCCTCAGCTGCAGAAATCTCACCAAAAGCAGTGTCACTGTGAGCTCACTGGTCCCTAATACAAAGTTTCATCTTTTAAACTAGGCTGGAAGTTGAGCGTCAAAACTTCAGTTTACCAGGTCAGTCTCCCAAAAGCAATGCCAGACTTGCTGGTCTGTGTATGTTACAGGGAAAGTACAAGCAATGGTCATTAAGGAAGATGCTTGCTAGATGCAGCATCTTTAAATAAAAGAGAGATTCGTGTGTCACACTGCCTCAGTCAGTGTCCCCTGTGCTGCTCAATTATCTCTGAAGTAGTAGCAAAACACACTGTCTTCACTAAAATTTGAAGGAAGCGTGCCCAGTGGATGATGGCATTATTTCTCACAACATCCTCGGAGACAAACAGATGCTTTTCAGGCTAGGTAAGTGAACGGTGAGGTGGACTGTCAGGTTCAGAGGGCTGTAATCAGCAACATGAAGTCCAGCTGAAGGCCAGTCAGCATCGGAGTACCCCAGGGGTGGATACTAGGGATATTAGCTAATTAACATCATTGATGGTAATGTCTGCACACTCAGCAAGTTTCCAGGTGATACAAAACTGAATGGCTGATGAACCACATATTTGTGCTGCCTTTCACAGGGACAGATTGGACAATTGGCTGACAGAAACTTCAGAAACTTCATGAAGTTCAGTTAAAGGAGGTGCAAAGTTCTGCATCTGCAGATGAACAACCTCAGGCTGGAAGCCCACTGGCTGGAGAGCAGGTTGGCAGAAAAGCCTTGGTGGGCTTTGTTGACACCAGGTGAGCCAGATGAGCCAGAAATCTACCCTTGCAGTGAAGAAAGCCACCAGCACCCTGAGCTGCATCAAGCAAAGCCTCACCAGCAGGTCAGAGGAGGTTATTCTTGCTCTCTGCTCAGCACTGGTGAGACAAACCTGGAGTGGTGGTTCTGGTTCTGGCCTCCCCAGGACAAAGGAGACATGGGCTTACTAGAACACATCCACCAAAAGGCCATAAAGGTGATGAAGGGACTGGAACACTTCTCCAATGAGGAAAAGCTGAGAGAGTGTTCTTCTGTTCAGCCTAGAGAAGAGAAGATTCAGGTGGGATCATACCAGTGCCTACCTGATGGGCAGAAGTAAAGAAAAGGGAATCAGGGAAAGGGAAGAGGAAGGGTTAGGGCAAGGGTAAGGGAACATGATTTTCAGTAAGGAATGTAGTAAGCCTCTAGAACAAAAGCTAGTACACCTCAGTGTCCTAATCAGGACTGCTGAATATCTGTCTTCAAAATATGCTGGATGTTTCTCTTCAAAATATGCTTAAACCAAAAAGCATGGGTTTGGGGTTGTGAAGTGAAATGCAATGTCTGAGGTAGGCAGAGTTTTGGAGTATGTTATTGCCTAAGTTTTACTCTCTGAGTAACCTAAATTGGTTCTCTAAACTGTTGTGGTTTTTTGTTTGTTTGTTTGTTTGCAATTTGCAGACATTTGGAAAAGCAGAAGACAATTAATCCATGGAAGAGATAGAGTCCCTTTATGGTTTTCTGAAAAGCTTTATGGATAGCTGGGGTATCCATGGACTATGTTCATCTCTTCAGTACCTCTCTGAATCTCCTCCTATACAGCTGCGTGTGGAAAGAAGTCTGCAAAAAGCCCTTATTGTGATACCCACTGATTGATCAACATGATCTATAAACTGCAACCAAACCTCTTGGGAATACATGTTATAATGAGACTGCATCTTTCTTTCTAGGACGGAGTTGCTGAGAACTGCACTGCAAGGTAATTTGCCCAGGAACTATTTCTCTATTACAGTGCACTACCATCTCCTCCAGCAGGAGTTGTGAGAATATATAGGTCTCTCCTAATGCATTACCAAGTGATCAGGGAAAGCCCCCGTGGACGTGTGGTGTCCTCTCTGCTGGATCAGTGGGTCCTGTGATGTGAAGGAAGAGCCTGTACCAAGGAAACAGAAGATGGAAGCCTCCCTATGGGCTCATTTCTGAAATGCCTCTGAACAGCTGCCATTCTCCTCCTTCATTCCCTTACAACATGCTCGCCTTGAATTATTTCTGCAGGAGATAAAGCAAGACGCCTTGGTGTTATTTCACAGTCTGGGCTCTGTCTTTCTTTGCACACACAGAGTCTGTGTGTAAGATTTCATCATTGTTAAGTGCAGACATGTTGTAATGCCCCAGATAGGCTAGGCAGAGACACTAAGGGTGAAA